AACATTAAATTGAGAGTAAGGAAAAAAATGACAAGTGACTGCCTTAATAAAAACTGACTCTGCCCATCCATCGAGAGAAGGCTTGTTAGCAGTCCCAACCCCCTATGAAATAGCAATGGTGAGGACCAGAAGTTAGGCTTTATCTGTAACAGTCCCTGCACTGTCTCTGGAGGTACACACAGATTCTACCTTCTGTCATTTTGGAAAGTGTCAGAAGACCATTTGGGTCAGGCTGAAGACTTTCAGTGGCCACCTAATTCCATTTAGGCTTGTTTTTAACTGTTTCTTACAGTATGTTTTTGTGCATAAGCCCCTGAATTATGAAGATTGGGGCACTTTCTGAATTTATTTATTCATTTCAAAGATTTGTATGGCTGGCCATCTTAGAGCACAACTCTGGGTGGCTCACAACAACAATAAAACTACAAAAAGCCATAAAACACAAACTAAAAACCTGGTGCCTCAATCATCCTCCCAGGATGAACCCACAACCATCCACAAGCTCTCACTACTCTAGCCCAGTGACTGGGTAAAGAGCCAGATCTTGATGCTATTCTGGAAGGCTAACAGGGTGGGGGCTTTCTGGATTGCCAGGGGGAGATTGTGCAAGTTGCAGTGGCTGCAGGCTGGGTCAGTACTATTGAAAATGGATGCTAGAATCTGAGAAGATATTGGGCGCCTCATCCAACAAGATACAAGGGGCTCAGTGGCAGGCTCTAAACCAGGGTTTCTCAACCTTGGCAGCTTTCAGAGGTGTGGACTTCAACTCCCAGAATTCCCCAGCCAGCAAGGCCTACACTTCTGAAAGCTGCCAAGGTTGAGAAATGCTGCTCTAAACAAATGCTACGCCCCACAAAGCAAATGCCTGGCCAGTTTTTTTCACAAACTGACACAGTTCCGCTCCCCTGTCAGGTTCCCAATTCTTTTGCGGTGGACTGCAAACAAAAGAAACCCCACCAACTCTCCAGCAAGCAAGAATAATTAAAAAAAAAAAAGATTCTTTACCTGTTGTACAACAAAGGCCCCATAATAAAGTATTTCCCTCTTGCTTGGTACATTGTAGACGAAAGGAAAGCGGCAGAAAGAGATGAGGCTTTCTTCTTCTTTGATATTCTGCATGTTGCAAGGAAAAAAATGGGGCATGGAAATCTTTCAAAACAAAAGAATATCTCATGTGGCCTTCTTCCCTTCTCAGCTGCCTTTGTCCCATTGGCCTCCAACCTGCATCAATATACATTTTTGCTCTTTTCTGGTAAGAAAAATATTTATGCAACAGCTAAACTACTCAACAGGGAACTCAACTGTTTTCTGATTCTCCTCAAAAATAAAAACAATTAGTCATCTGGGTAAAAACAAGTGTTTATGCTTGTGCACAATTAGTTATATACTATAAACTGGAGAGGGAAAATCACAAATTCTCTAATTTAGAACTTTTTGTAATTCTACAACAAAGACAGTCCATTTCACCTCTTAATTAGGCAGGCTAAGATGTCAGATAGCAAGAGAAAAGGCCCATTCAAGTGTTAAGAAAGTGAACCTGAGAGTTCTCACACAGTCAGTGATAAACAACACAGCAGCAGATCTGATCAATGCAAAAACAGAAGACAGATGCAGATAGGCTAGACTGCTCAAAAGAATAGGGCAAGAGTTGCTTAGATAGGATGGGAAGAAGGAAGATACACAAAAGGTTTTGAATACTGATTCTGTTATAGAGAGCTTGCTCTTGAAACTCAGGAAATAATACTTATCTGTAGTTCTTGAATTTCTTGTTAGTTTGCTTAAATGGTTCTAGTTCACAACTCTCCCAGAATAAAAGTTTTCATGCATACAATTGCATGTACATTGGCTTATATGTGACAAGAGTTAGAAGCCTAGTAAAAATAGGACACTCTTAATTCCTCCCTTAATTCAGGGAAATTATGAGATTAAGAGCTGAAGGGAAACAATCTAATGGTGTATTGCAGTAGAGGTTTAAAAGTTGATATTTAATAATAGTGATAATCATTCTGTATATTTTTGTTCAATGAAATGTTCCTCTCATAAAATGGAATTAGATTCCTTAAAATGATAATTGTTCTGTGTGCTACCTTGCCCAAACCTACTGCCATTTTGTAAGTACTGGCTTTCATGATTTTCAGATTTTCAAGTCAACCCCAGGGTAAGAAAGTTTGAGAAGCACTACACTGAATAAATTAAAATTAACTTAGTTTGCACAATTTGCTAATCCCCAAGCCACAGTTTACGAACCACAATGCTAGGATTCACCTAACATGCTAAGCAAAAAACCAAATAAACCACATTATGGATTAGTTTGATGTTATAACCAGGATTTCCTGCCCAAAATGCTTTTAACTGAGGGGAGATGGTAACTAAAGCAATATGTTCCAATTAAGATATGCAAGAACATTTTCCAGATCTCAATCACTTCTGTCCAAGCTACATGAGCTCAAATACTTGCATTCCACAGAAGACCAAGAGGCAGCATAAAACAATACTTACATTGTTTTCAATCCACTCCTTCCATCTCCTTAAATCTTCCACGATGCTAATTTTTTTAGGAATTTCATCTAGGCAGAAGGTACTTATTTGCAGTTTGCATTTAGCCTTCATGTTGACCTTGAAGGACAATATTTTGAGTTCAAAGCCATGGATTTTATATCAAGAGTCACCACCAACTTTCCATGATCACTTCCAAGTCACCAGACACACATACCTTATATAGCTTTTTAAGCACTTTGAGGAGGTGAATCCATATCTGGCTTTTGTGACAAGTGTAGTAAAGAGGCAACATAGCTGACACACCCTTCTTCAACATTTGAACTATCTGCTCTAAAAATGGACCTGGCAACAATGACCAATAATTTTCTGAAAGAAATAAATATTTTCAAGTCATTGAAAAATATGCAAGAAAAACAGAATCAATCATATACTAAATAAGCCAAACTGATGAAAATCCTTGAAGAGGTTACAGAATAAGCAATATTTTGATGGGTAGGAGGCTGCTCTTAACTTTTTTGGGATAGTGTGATAATTATTTGTTTAAAAATGTATAGGTTGCTCATTCTTCTTACAGTTTTGGGTGGTTTACAACAATGTATTAAAACATCCATAAAACAATGATGAAGACATATAACATATAAAGGTATAAAAATTATACTCAAACATTAAAAGGCCTGTGTAAATAAGGAGAGTGTAAATATGGAAAGGTCTTCCTCAATTTTCAGTGACAGTTGTTCTGCAATATGGAACCATGCTCCAGAGTCCTTCAATTAAGCAATGTCATGTATCAGGAGGTGTGCCTTCTCGCTGTTGCACCTGTCTTCTGGAACAACATCTACCTGGAGATCTCTATGACTCCTGGCCTAATAGTGTTCTGAAAGCCATTTGGCTTTGTTCCCAGGTCTAGGAGTAGGATGGCTGTTGAGCTCCTGTTGTTTTTTCTCTGGGGAATTTTTTGAGGTGTTGGGTGTGTCCTTCCAGATGTTCAGGATTTCTTCATTTTTCTTTTTCTGTTTTATTTTATAATGGAAGCCACCCAGAATTGGATGGCCTTTAAACTTAGTGAAACAGACAACCAACCATCTAAAGGTTTGTCACATAGAGAAGGGACTGCACTAGTTCTCTGTTACCCTGGAGAGCAGGATCAGAACCAGTGAGCTGAATCTACAGGGAAGTAGAATCGGGTGAAATATCAGGAGAAATTGCTTTACAGTAACAGCTGTCAATCAGTGGAATAGGTTGCCTCATGAAGAGGTAGGTTCCCCTTCACGGGGTTCAAACATAGGCTGGATAGCCATTTTGGATTACATAATCTCTGAGGTACCTTCTAAGTCTATGGCTTTACTGCTTTTGCTGAGAGAATGTAGAATTCTCTTGAGCTTGGAAAGTGAGGAATGTAATATATGAATGGAGGCACATGGGGTGGGTGGGTGGGAAGAGAAAAGGAGAATTGCTCCAAACTCACCTAGAATGTTGGAAGAGCACTCGTTCAGACCTGTGATAGCTTCTGCAAAACGCAGAGCTAACGACAGAACCTTTTGGGCTTCAAAAGCAGCAGAGCACTCAGGCACCAGAAGAAAAATAGCAAGAGCTTCTTGGTGAGGAGAACTCAGTGGAAGAGCAGGGAGTAGGTGGTTCAATAGAGAAGAAGAGATCTGTTTAAAAAACAATAGGTATAGCCAGGTCAGATCTATCTAACTTCAGAGGAAAAGTAGATGTCTGAAGGGAAAGGACTGCATCAGATGCCCTGCCCACTCCTGAATTTCAGCTTACACAGCTCATTATGGTGTAGCACCAGGTTGCACCAGGCATTGCTTTGCCAGGACTGAACCTGCCTAGGTGGTAAGAAGATATAAAGAGGGCCTGCTAAGAGCCAATTATCTCCCATGATGTTGGGGTTGTGTGGACCAGGTAGCAGGCATTCTCTTTTGTAGCTCCCATGCTCTGGAACCCACAGAACTTCATACAGTCACCTCCTGCTTAGTTTCTGGTAACTTTATTCTACTGTGTTTTCAATCTTAGTTGGTTTGTGGCATCTGTCAGGGTAGGGGAAAGTCAAGGTGTTGGTTATGACCTTTAAAGCCCTTCAGGGCATGAGCCCAGGTTACCTGAGGAACTGTCTCACTCCCATTACATTGGCCTGTCCCATCTGGTCTGGCAGGAAGGGTATGTTACGGATCTTACTGCCTAGAGAGTTTCATCTGGCGGGGTCCAGGAGGAGAGCCTTTTCTGCCGTGGCTCCTGCTCTCTGGAACAACTTGCCCGCTGAGGTGAGATTGACCCCCACTCTGCTGGCCTTCTGAAAGGGCGTTAAGACCTGGCTCTGCCAACTTGCATGGGGACCCAACAGGGGTTCGCAGCACTGGGGGCGGTTGGTAGCCTGAGGATGCTCCCTCCGCCTTTTTAGTTTGCACTGTAGCTTTAACTTTTTAGTTTAATTTTAACTTTTTGTAGTTTTTAACCTGTATACTTTTTTCTAAGATTTTATAGTTTTTTTACTTGTAATGCCACGTAGAATCATTTGTACAATGAGATGGGTGGCATATATAAATTCAATAAATAAATAAATAAATAAATAAATTCATTCATTCATTCATTCATTCATTCATTCATTC